AATGTCCAGTTTCTCTACAGTAATGTCACAGTCTCTCTATGCAGAAATGTCACAATCACTGTATTAAAGTCACAGTCTCTCTACAATGACATTAGTCTCTCTGAAAGACAGTCACATTCTCTCTATAGTAACATCCCAGTCACTACTGTAAACTCATAGTTTCTTTATATCAATGTCAAACTCCCTCTGTTTCATAGTCACAGTCTCTCTATAGGAATGCCAGAGTCACTCAATAGTAAAGTCACAGTGTCTCAGTAGTAATGTTACAGTCTCTCTGAAGTAATGTCATAGATTCTCTGTAGTAAATTTACAGTGTTTCAGTACTAAAGTCAGTCTCCCTGAAGTAACATCATAGACTCTCTGTTGTAATATCAGTCTATCTTAATGTTACAATTTCTTTATATAAATGCCACAGTTTCACTATAGTACAATTACACTTTCTCTATTATAAGGTCAGTCTATTTAAAATAATTTTACAGTCTCTCTGTAGTAATGTCACAGTCTCTCTCTGCAGAAATGTCACAGTCTGTCTGTAGTAGTATTCAGACTCTCTGTAGGAATACCACAGTCTTTCTATAAAGTAAAGTCACAGTCTCTCTCTGTAGTAACATCAGTGTTTCTCTGTAGTAAATTCACAGTATCTCTATAGTAGTCATAATCTTTCTCTAGTAAAGTCATAGGATCTCTATGAAGTTTCTCTTCAGTAAAGTCCCAGTTTCTCAGTAGTAATGTCACAGTATTTCTATAGTAATAATCACACTCTGTAGTAAAGTCATGAGCTTTCTAAAGCAATGTCACAGATTCTCTATGGTAAAATCATAAATTCTCTGTAGTAATGCATAGTTTTTCTGCAGTAAAATCACAGTCTCCCAGCAGTAATGTCACAAACTATAGCAATCACTTAGTCTCTGTATAGTAATGTCCCAGTCTGTCTGTGTAACATTACAATCTCCCTATATAGTAATGTTGCTCTTTCCATAGAAGTCATAGTATCTCAGTGGTTATCTCACAGTCTATCACAGTTTCTCTATCATAATGTCCAGAGGTGTCGGTGCTGGGGGTGCTACACTTTACATATTTGATTTATATAGCAACTGTAAATTATATTATTATATTAATTGGGGGGGGGGGGGCATGCCCCCAGACCTCCCTAGCATGGGAGCTGCTTTTAGCAAATTCATATACTTTCAATCTCTCATTGTAAAATCTCCTACTTTGCAACTCCTTCCTACACCACTGATGTCATAGTTTAGCTGTAGTAATGTCACAATATTTTCCTAGTAAAGTTACAATTTCTCTATAATGATGTCACTATCTCTGTAACATCCCAGTCACTATAGTAAACTCATAGCCCCTTTGCAGCAATGTCAAATTCTCTCTATTCCATTGTTAGTCTCTCTACAGGAATCTCATAGTCTCAATACAGCAATGTCACAGTCTGTCAAAAATAATGTCACATGATATGCTGATTTAACTTGATGGTGAGTTTGAAATCTAAATAACATTACATTAGAATATTCTCTCCTCTTACAGACATGTGCTCTGTAAATGCTTGGCTGTTTTTTAAGTTACACTGCCAAACTAGAAATGAAAGACCAAAACCCCTTATGGATTTCTGTTGTGAAACTGCCCACAGTCTTTTGATGAGATCAAAAGTGAATAACACTGGACAGAAAAGAGGATGACCATAACCATTGATATTATGCAACATCATTGCAGAAAAATGACACCAAATCCAGTTGCTGACATTAGATATGATAGCATAGGATATTGACCATAACATGCAGTAAGCAAGAGATGTAAAACTTTTCACAAAAAACTATTCAACAATTTCTTGCGATAAATACAAAGTCAATTTGTGTTTCACAAAGGACAGAAATTGTTTCAAAATATCCTAAATGAAATAATGACTGTAAACTTACTCTGTGATCAACAATTAGTAATGCAATGGTAAGGACATTCAACAGAACCTTTGTGAGTACTTTAATTCTATTTACATCATAATATTTCAATGAATACCTTCATTTTTGACAAGTTGGTCTGGAAGGAATATGCAATGGGTTATTTAACCATTGCAAGCCAATGAAGCACAAACGCATAAAATTTTGCAAAACAAATAAGTGAGAATCAGATTAGCAATAAATTTTATTGTAATCATTTTCTACTTTTAAACTTGTCAAATTTTTCACACACCTTGACTGTCTTTATAATCTGGAAAGAAACTTAGTTGAAAAGGGTTATATCTAATCAGTCAATTTATTTAATTATTCTTCATGTTTAATAAATTACTTCTGCTTATTAGTTCTTTAGGATTTATCAATCACTTTTATACATCAGTATTTATGGATGATACTTTTTCAAGCATCATGTATTTCACATTAAAAGTATTGGAATAACAAACTTCCTAATGTCTTTTAAAGGAACAACTGACTAGTTTTCTTTAATGGAAATGTAGCTAAGAAATCGAGTACACAATTTCAAGAAAAGGCATAAAAAGTCAAAACCTAGGATGTTTTTGTACCTACTTATCCTAATTTTTGATAAGATTTTAAGAAAGTAACTATCTATGAATCATTATTTGATAAAACAAAATATGATTTTTTTTATTTGGTTTACTAAATTAATTATAATCTGGTAATGGCTATACCCAAGTTGCCCAAAAATAACACTTAAAATAAAGGTCAGTCAACTGTGATACTTCTGTATATTATATATTGTATCTATTAATTGATGATAATAGTAATGAAAAAGGAATATGGGTTCCATTTTAAGATTATGTTGCAAAATGGCCATTAAACAAGTAAAGAAAAGAAAGTAAAATATCTAACAAAGCTCAAAACTTAAATACTCTATTTTAAAATATTTTAGAAAATCTCCTGTGGACTGATTTATTATAAAATTGAGTCTAAAAAAGATAACAGGAACCTCTTAAACTTAAGTTAGTTAGTAATCAAAGAATTCTGCAAAATCACATTAAAATGCATAAACAACTTGAAGCAATAGTAAATATTTATAATCAAATTTGAATATCATGCCTGTAGTACCATTACACAGCATTCCCATTTGCCCCTGAAGTGCTAAGATTATAGGGTTTTTATTCATTACACAGTCAAAAATATCCTGAACCAGATAACACAATAGCACGATTTCTATATTTTTCAATAATACTCTAAAACAACTTTAAATTCTGATTAGCTTAATTTTAAACTGATTGCTACAAAATGCAATTAATAAAATAGAAGTTGCGTCAAACGTTCCACATTCTATGAATCTAGACAGCTTCAAACCAAAGTATAAAAATATATATATCATTTTAATTATCCAAATCATAAATTATTAAGCTGTTCTCTGTAAAAACTGCTGAAGTGGTTTTATATCCAGACAGATTGAACAACAAAGTCACAAACAAAAAAAATGAGCTTCTCTTCTAATTTTATGATACTTTTGCCTACTACCTATAAAATAACAAATATTACAAAAATATAGAAAATTAAATCAATATGCCTTAAGTGAATAAAACCTACCATTTTATACACTCTCCTATCAAACAATTAAAAAAAACTTTGAATTTAAAGACTGGTGCAAAATATAGATTTTACTCTTTAAGTGATATGCAATCAGCCTGTTACTTCAAATTAAAAACTTTAGTGATGCCAATATTTAGCTTTTTGAATTAGAAACAAATGAGTGATAAAGGAGTTTTTGTCCTAATTAAACCATTATATTCTTTTATGTATAGTAATAATTTTCCTTTTTTTGGACAATTTGCATATAACATTAGTTCTTTGTGGAGTTGTTTTTGAATAACTACAATAGTAATCATCCTGCATCATAATATTATTGTGAGAAATGATTCTCTATTATTAAAATCTAATCACAAAGGATTATAAAAATCGTCAGTGTAATAGTAGTAACAGTGACTGAACTACAGATCATTATAAAGCATGTTTCATATACACCAAACAATATACAAGTTCATAAATTTTTTTACAGCTGTTATTGCTCTCCTACTTTTCTAATGTTGTTCTTTACATAAAACCTAGCTTGGTTTAGTTATTTAATATATACTTTTATATACACACACACACACACACACACACCCAACATAACAAGAAAAAAAGGAAACTGCATCTCTGGTAAAATATCTATGTTATAATTATTTTTTATCTTCCATCTTTCCTGGAATTCTAGTAAAATGTAAATACTGTTTATTTACATTCAAAATCCTTTAAATTTTCAGATACATGCATCATTATTAAAAGCTAAAAGTTAGTTTCATTTGTCACTCAAGAACTTTACTAATCATAATTCAATACAACACAGAGAGACAGAAGAAGATGAATTCCTAGTCTGAAGAGAGTAAGACAGCTAAAATTGTATACATAAACATAATTACTAAGAGACTAACACTTGAAGTACAAAACAGTTTAACAGTAAAAATATGTACTAAATTTGGCAGCTCGTACTGAGTTGAATATAATTAAAGTACTGGCCCAGGCATCAGTGATTTCTGTAATGTGGGTATGGGATAAGTGGGTATTTAACAGAGGCAATTACTGCACTGGGACTTTTCTATAACTGATACAAACAACTCTACCAACAACCGAGGAATAAAGATGGCTGAAAGTTAAGAAAATAAACAAAAACAAAAATCCTGTAATTTTATTGATCTTATGGCTTATTAAAGTTGAAAAGAAACACACAATTGATAACTTGTTACAATTTGTAAAATATTTATTTCTATTTCTTTGAACTTTACATAAAAATTGGTCTTTATAAAAAATCCTATATATTATTTCAACATCATGGACAACTTGAAGTAAAAGTTCATCTTTTTTCTTTTCATAGCTGCAGTTCACTAACTTAGCAGCATAGGTGATTTTTCAGAACTTCTATGGTTATTTAATGCCATTTCATACTTGTAATTTTTATCATAGAAAAAAAGAATTCAACCTAAAAGACAAAATATTTTTCAATGTCATCTAGTTTTAAGTACTTACCCACTGTTCTTCTAGTTCTTCTATCTCTTCCATCTGCATGTAACAAACAGATTGATATTATAACTGAAACACAATTTATATAAAAGCAATCTGAGTTTAATACAAAGTTTCTGGTAAACAAATGCTGGATGATATTTAGGTTCATAAAGAGAATTTTATGAGAAAAGTTAGCATTTTTTAACACTGAAAATGTATTTCTGATAGATACCTCTTCTCACATAATAGCTTTCCTCAACTTGTGATGTCCTCTGTATGTGCAATTTTTGTTTGCCACAAGCCTTGAGGCTCCCACCTAACATCACATGTTTACAATGTGGCATAGCTGCATTGTAGTAAGCAATTTAGCAGGCAACAACCCCCCACCAATAGGAGTGCAACATACCCTCCTAGCAAAACTGAAACTCTCTATACTGTAGAGTACAATCATCATTTCAAGATCAGTCCAAAAACGAGCAGCATTGTGTATGTGTCTTCTAGTCTGCAGTAGGAAGAGGATCTCAATTGTCTTCACCTCAAGACCAGGAAGCAGATGGGAAAAGCAACTTCCAACAACCCAGACAGGGCACATGTGTGCAAACCCAGTATACAAACAACCCCAGGTTACCCGAGAACCCAATATCTAGGCAATGGTAGGAAGGGGGAATGCATACATGGTGGTCAACTCCAGTTCAAAACCAGACAGTATTCTAAATTTTTCATTAGGTTTGCAGTAGGGTGAGGAACTCTACCAATCACATGTGTGAGGACTTATGTCCTACACTGATCCAACAACTGGTCGATTTGTCCAGTTCAAAACCAGGCAGCATGGTAGGAGGAGAGTACTCACCATCTACACCAATAAAACACAATCACCCTATTCTCAACTGAGTGGAAGTTGTCACACTCAGGAGTAAGCCTCCATTGGCCCATCACTCCAGCAGTTGGAAACTGGGAAGTGGCAAAGATTTCTGTACTCTGCTAGAAGAGGCGAAGAGTAGAAGGCTAGGCCTTGCAGACAAACAAACAAAAAACACCTAAATCAACGAGAAATAAATTGGGTGTGAGATGTGACTCTTTTAAATTGAATCAAGCAACCCAGATGCACTGCCTCCAAAAGAAGGAGAAGAGGGTGGCTGTAGGAGGCTTTTTAGGACAGAGCCAAATGAGAAATGAATCATCCAAGAAGTCCCAAGACCTGGGGCAAAAGACCACCATAGAGTAAGAAATTTCCCATGGGAAAATAAGGGAAGATGAGAAAGAGACTGAGATATGAATGATGTAAGACTTGACACCTATCTACAGATCCCCTAGGAACCACAAAAATATGGGAAGAAAAAACCCGGAAAAGAACGAGAAACCCAACCAATAGTGATTGCAGCCATTAGGACTAACACTACCATGGACTAATGTTGGCAAGAAACAAGATCCCTTTGAGGATGTAAAATAATGGGAACAGGAGACATTGGAGGAGGAGAGGAAAAACAAAGGTTAAGGCTCTCCGATATAAATCCCAGTACTCAACAATTGGCCACAAATGGAGGGCAAAGGTACATACAAACAAAAAAGACTACTGACTCTGAGCCTATAGGACAGCCATCACCTAGACTGACAACATCAAAGTCTAGGAGCGATGGAAGGACATATGGAAAAAGGAATTGGAAGTGGTGACAGAGAGTGGCAAAGAAGAAGCACAGGAGAGATGGTAAACAGTGAGGATAAGGCATAACATTGGCATGCAGCCTCAAAACATGACACTAGAGATGAAAGGAGCCAGAAGAAGACATATGAAACATAAAGGAGGCAAAAAGCAATTGAGTAACAAGGGCATCAAATCCCAACCAACTCTAGGAAAACATCAATCAAATAAGAAGTAAAAATGCCACTGTAGAAAAAACAAGTGAATGAGCATCCATAAAAAAAAATCCACAAAGTAATGGTGGATTACCACAGAAAGAAGGTTAAAGAAGGAAACAAACGTAAAAGGGTAGTATGTGTAAAACGAAGGTATTTAAACTTAAGACTAAGAAAGATCAACAAAAGACAGATGATCTGACCCCCAAATCTGAAGTCTTTACAGTTTAGGAGTTAAACAAAATCAATATAGCATGAAGTCATGACTAGTCAAATGAGATAACAAAGGATAGAGGGCGATGCGTGTATACCCTAGAATAGTGGTAAAAATAATTGAATATGTAAAACATACCTGACAAATCTAGTCACAAAATCATGAAAAAAGGCTGAAGTAGGTGGCAAAAAACTGGCAAACCCTTTTCCATCACAAATGAGGAACATAGGCAGAGGTATGTCAGGGACAAAAGAAGGCTATGACCATATGAAAGACTCTACCATCAGCCACAAAAAAGTTGTCATCTCTCCCAACAGACAATGACAAATGCAACAATGTAATTGGTAAGCTAGCATGAACAAAGTCGTGTTGTTTCACAACAGACAAAGTGAAAGTTACTGACAATTGTGATACAATGTCTTTGGAGATAATTCCACTGAAAAATGCCTATACTTTAAAAGATCATGACTGATAAAATAAGACATGTTGTTACACATTAGTGCAAAATTGAGACATTGTAATTGTATAGAGGAAGTCAGCTGCACTTGGATGGTGTGTTGAACTCCTACTGGTGGAGGGTTGTAACATGCTCATTTGCATGATACAATGCAGATATATCACATGTAAACACGTGATGTCAGGTAGGAGCCTCAAGGCTAGTAGCAAACAAAAATTGCACATATAGAGGGCAGCACAAATTGAGGACAACTATTATGTGAGAAGAGGTAAGGTATCATATCAGAAGTATTTTAGTCTGTTCTTATAGCTCATCAGGATATAAACAAGCTTTATGTTATGCAGTATATTATAGCTTGTCTTTTGTATAAATTTGAGTTCTTATTTACAAACCTAAACCAAATAAAATAGCATTCATTATTAAGTTGGAAAAAGACCTAGAAATATATATACACACACACATATAGTTAATATATTAATTTCAATGAGCTTTCATATAACCAGTTTAACATGATGAAGAACAAATGATTCAATCCTTGTTCATTTTAAGAGTAATAAAATACTTACTCCTCTTTTCCTCTTGTTTGAAACACCTATAAAATAAAAACAATGAAGTTTATACAAAAATGAAAAAAAAAATTATCAAGTTTCTAAATTTCATCCAAATAAAATAAAATTCTTTGGTTCATAACATTTAATATAAAAAAAACATTTTATAAATTTTCTAAAACTAATAAATATTACAATAAAAAACTGCAATGTCAATAGTTATGCCTGCCTTACAATACCAAGTAAATACTTAAATATCTGCCTTACAAGAACATATTCTCATTTTATTGCACACATTAGCATGTTCAAATAGTTTGATCTGGATTTTTTTCTTCACTTCAAACAAATATCTGAAACAGCACCAAACTCGATTATTTCAGTGACACTTGAATACATCAGATGTTTAATACAAGTAGCTAGTGGTAAGTTTGAAGCCTTCAGAATCTACCAGCATGTAATAGAAAGTTGTAAGTTAGAATAAAGAAAAAATAGTTATTCTAAATACAAGGTACAGTAAAAATTATTACAAAAACTTGAGAACAAAACAAAAGTTACAAACATAAAAGTTGGTAGGGCAAATAGAGAAACAATATAAAGCAAACCTAAAGCAATCTATAAGGACCAAAGAAAAAAGAAAGTTAAGCAATATAGTAACAAATAACAAGAGAAAATGTTTTATATCAAGTAATAATGATATGAAAAATCACAATTCATAAACAAGAAAATGGAGAAATAAGTCAAATAGATAAGGAGGAAGGTAACTGTAACAAATAATTGAATAACTATGAAAAATATCAAGAGGATGGAAAGAATGAAATGAAACCAGAATACTCTAAAAAAAAAAAAAGTCCCTACTTCAAAAATAGATAACCACCAGCCATGAAGTCAAAGCTTAAAACCTCCTAATGAAAAGGACCATTGAAAAAAAGAAAGAAAGGAAAAGAGAATTATTACAACAAGTAAAAATGAGGGTCATACAGAGATTCAGTGGAAAAATATGAACCAAAGCACGTCATACTGCCATAAGCTCCAAGATGTTGAAATGATAAAATATTAAAATCTGAGACCATTGCTTGAAAATCTCTTGCTGATAGACCCACACTCCCCAACCTTGGAAAGAAGCATGTGTGATTTGATGCAAATCTGGATGAGGTAAAGAAAGCTGTATTCCCTTTGTTGTGCTCTCCTTGTACAATCACCAATGCAGATAGTCTGTACAAGGAGAAGGAAGGGTAACTGGGGAGTCCAAGGGATCCTGAGCAGGATTCCATTGGCCATTCAGAGTCCAGTGATGAGAACGCATATGTGCCCAACCCAAAGGAATAAAGGCTTCCATACAAATCCAAGTCCTCAAAACTGACAGAACCTCTCATGCAGAAACTGAGGCAGCAGTAAATGCATGGAGAACTGAAAGCACTATCAAACAGAGAAAAAGTGAAGAAGGTGGGGACAGATTGAGGAGGGTGTTGAAAAATATACACCCAAATGGATAAGGTAGTGGGTAGGCAAAAAGAAACTTCACCAGCTTTAGAATCCAACCAATACAAGCTGCTACTGTGTATGTTGAGATGACTCCAGTTTGGAACGAGCTAACAGCAGCCAGTCATCCATGTTGTGGTGTAAACCCAACCCTAGAGCATGCAGAATTTGGGCAAAAGCTGAAACCACCTAATAAAATACATACAATACTGAAGCAAGCCTGATAGACCAGGTGCAAAACTGATACCCAACCCCATAGTGAACAAACCAAAGAGAGCATCTGGACTGATGAGAAATATGAATATGGAGATAGGCATTCAAGACATCTATCTTGGTCATTCATAGTCCTGGAGAAAAAAAAAACCCGAGTGCAATAAAGGGAAATCAGAGAAGATACAGAAGTTAGTTGAGGCAGGACAGGTGGAACACATGACAAAAAAACCTGGAGTAAAATCCTGGAAAGGATTGACTGACAGGCTTTATAGCTCTCTGTGATAGATGCAGACAGGTATTTGTATTCTGAGTTAATGGAAAGGAAATCAGTACAAGAGACAAAGGTGGAGGGGAAAGAAAAAGGATGAAAAATCCTTCTCACAAAACTTGAATTACCCAAGAAACAGTAGTGAATATCCACCACAGAGGAACAAAATTGGCCAAACATGCCCCCACTGGACTGGAAACCACCTGATAGTCACTGGAACTGCTGGCGATAAAGAACCTGACATTGAGACACACAGCAAAAGATGGAACCCCGATGTGGTAGGAACTAGTAAAGAATGGGAGGTTGCAGGACAAGAAAGTTATGGGAGAGGTCATGGTATCAGAATGAGACAAACGAATAACCAAAAACTAAAAAGTCAAATGGGGATTAACAGAGTATACAAGTGATACCAAAGATATTGAAAAAATAAATTGATGGAGAAAAGGAGCCATCTGGAAGTCACAAAGATAAAGGGAAGGTAGATGAACATGTAAAATGACAACATCCTTCCCAATAAGCTCCCAACAGCAACAAAACTACATGTGAAGGGATAGGACCAAAGAGGTCAACAGTGCTAAGGAGGAGTAAGGAGGGAAAGTGTATCCCCCCAAAATCCCTCAGGGGATTGATGGAGCGCCTCAGAAAGGAGGTGTATGTTGGACAAGTACTATAGGAGAGCTGTAAGAGTAAGACAAAGGTGGGAAATGAACGTGGGAGAAATGGATAGGATTATTAGGGACAGTCCCCACATTGTCAAAAGTGATTCCAACTGCTTGGAGTCGAGAAAGGGTTGATTAGCTTACTGATAAGCCAAACATAATGATTAGAAGACCATAAAGAACGAGGCATGCTAACAAAAGCCCTCAACTGAGAAATGAAGTGCTCAGCATGAACCCTGATGTCAGAGGAAGGAGGGAAAAACAAGGGACTCTAATAACGGGTGTCATGTAAAAAAGGAAAAAACGGTATTCCAAGAAAACAGTGAAAACAAGAAAAAGGAACACACCTGAGAAAGCATATCCAAAAAGGTAGAGTTAGGCCTAGTATATTTTGTAGGAGATGCATGGAAAGCATGGCATAGTTAGGAGGAAGAATGTTAGGGTGGCAAAATTCACCTAGTCACAAACAGGTTCAGACAATGCAGGAGGAACCTGAACATTGTCGGGAGAAAAAGGATCCCTTATATAATGATCAATCTCCCGACAAATGATAGCCAAAAAATCATCAATCGAGATCCCCAAACCTGAAGCCAGTAATGTCACTCGAAGTAGCAGTAATAATATCAAAATTTTTAAAACACAAACTTCGGTATTCATTGTAAACTGGGAAGAAGTCAAAAATGAGAAAAAAAATTCAATAAACAAAGGTAAGTTATTGCAGCAAACTATTACAGAAAATCTAACTGTAGCAAATGAACAAATCAAGTAAATCACTATTTCACAAAAAAAGAAATGAACATGTTAAAAGAGTACAATTGAAAATTGTCTGCACTCGATCACTACCTAACGAGAAGTGATAGTTCGGTAGAATCGAATAGAGGGAGTCGCATGTATCCGAAGGGTGTGTTGCACTCCTATTGGTGGAAGGTCGTCACATGATGATTTACGTGCAAGATGCAGTTAAACTACATTGATCATAGGGTACGTAGGAGTTCTAGGCTTCTGGCATGCAAAAAAACATTTGCATATGGAGGGCAGCACTGAACAAGAATTCCTATACATGTGAGAAGAGGTAATGTAGGGGAAAGCATAGGGGAAAGCTGCAGTAAAGGAACATAAATCAGATAAAGTGTTGCACAGGGTAAATTAGATTGGTATTCTATATTAGGAGATATAGTGACTAAATACAGCAAAGGCTAATAGAGGAGTATAGAATCACATCTGAAGTAGAAATTGATCTTAATGATTGAATAAACAAAATCAAACACAAGATAGTGTTAAACAGTAGTATATCTATGGCACAGAGACCCTATAATGCTACAGAGAACTACATAGTTAAAAGCATGCATAAAGTATATGCTTGAACAAGGAGTTAATGAGGAGAGTAATGGTCTTTACAAAACTCCAGTTGAGTTAGTTCCTAAGAGAATTGGCAAGCTAATTAAATCAGGTAACTGTCAAGGACACAATCTACAAGCAAACATAAAAGAAACTTTAGATAGATTAGGTTAGAGTAAGTACTTTTCTTCCATGAACTTGCAAAATGGCTATTGGCAAGATGAGGCTGAAGAATGTGATAAAATTAAAGCATATTTATATTACTATGTGAAAAATATCAGTTTCATTCTGGATATTGGTGGGCCTAAGTTAATATGTCATGGCTTTTTTTCAAAATTGTTGCAAAAATATTTGATTAAACTTCTTTATTGTCAACCTGTGTCAATAAGCTTGGCATCAAGATGTAGTTTACAAATAATTTCTTAATTTCAAACAGAAATATATAAATAATTTCTTATTCCCCCACTTTCCACGTGTCACATGTCTCATCTTTGATCCGAGTTCCCCATTTTATTATCTTTTCGTGGGCTTTACTGTGTCCACCTAATTGCAAACTTATACTATAGATATTGACAAACCAGAATATAATAAACTTTGAATGTTCAATCTTTTTGCTTTACTAAGATATCACTACATTTTCAAAACCCACATGGCATACCTATTCAAAGCTATAACTCACAAGAAATTCTGAAATGTGTTGACTACAGTCACTGCTTCAAGAAATAATAGAATTTTTAATCTATTTATAACTAGAAAGCCATTTAATTCATAGTAGTTTTTGAGCATTCTATTCTAGTTCCAGATGTTATAAAATGCATATTTTAAACTAATATGTACCATGGATTATTTTGTGGACAATCAACATAGTGTGAAGAAAGTCATCTAATTGAAGTTCACTCTCAAATACAAATAGGCCTATTTCCTTAGATAAGTCTTAAACTTCTTGTTTTTTATGTATATTTTTAATTTATTGTTATATGTTTTTTAACTCAAGCTACTAAAATGTAAAATATAGAAACTCATTAGGGTAGCTAACAAGACCTAAATGAAAAATTAAATAAAAACAATTCACAAGAACAGCTTGAAC